CATCTCCACTCTTTTCTTCCCATCTTTACCCGCTCTTCCCTTCTGGAGTTCACCACTATCTTAACTCTTATGATAATAATTCCTTTGCTTTTCTGTGTAGTTTTGCTACTTACATATAGAATCCCCAAATGATGTAGTTTAGTTTTGCCTGTTTTTGAACTTTATATAAATGGAATCATACTGTATTTTGGGTGTCCTCATTTATTTTGTTCAATATTATGTTTGAATGATTCATCATGTTGTTATGAGGAGCTCTAATTGGTTCATTCTCATCCATAACACTCCGTTGTACCCCAATGAAAAAAATTTTAATTGATTTTTAGAGAGAGAGGAAGGGAGAGGGGGAGAGAGAAACAACAATGTGAGAGGAAAACATCTATCAGCTGCCTCCTGCATGACCCTTACTGGGGATTGAGCCCTAAACCTGGGCATATGCTCTGACCCAGAATCAAACCGGCTACCATTTGGTGCATGGGATGACACTAAACCAACTGAGCCACACCTGCCAGGGAGATTATTTTTTTCTATGGCTGCACTCTGAAATCTTTTTATAGGTAGTTTAAAGGCATTTGGGTATTTTTTTAAGAGACAAAAAGCAGTAAAATTGTTAAGAATATTAATTTGGGAATTAGACCTGTGTTTGAATACAGACTCTATAATTTAGTAGATTATCTTGAGTACATGATCAAGCCTTTCTGAGCTTTAGTTTTCCAGAAATGAGAAAAATAACATTACATCATAAGATTGTTGAAAAGACAAAAAAAAAAAAAGTCCATAAAGCACTTAGTACAGTGCCTAGCACGTGGTCACCCTGAGTAAATGATGATGATTACTATTATTCTTGGTCTGCTTGCTGAAGTTCCAGTTTAGGGGCTGACTCTGTTTAACTGTGGCTCCTCCTTGAGGATCTTGCTTAATATTTAGGAATTGAGGAGGTAGAGCTTTACTCTCCATACGTCATCATCCTCCCAGAAATTGCCTTCCTGGTGACTTCCTCATAAACTCCTCCATGAATCTGTCAAGGAAACTGTCCTGTGTGGACTAGGAGCCTCCCACCTTGTAATCAGGTGGATAAACTATAAGCCCTTCCCACCAGGCCCTCAACAACTCCAAACTGAGTTGCTCTTGAACAAATACCAATCCTTCGATTCATTCATTAAGCAGGTGAGGCAGAGTGGAAGTATTCTAATCCCTTTTCTTTTCTTCTCTAAGACCTAGTACTAGAGATGTAAGCCTCAAAATTCTATTAAGGAATGTGCTGTTTTCACAATGGCAGGAGACTATCAGAGAGATAGACAAGACTCCACAGGTATGTTGGATGCAAGAATCAGGGTTATAATATGCTCATTCAACAAGTCTTTTTTTAAAATATATATTTTTATTGATTTCAGAGAGAAAGGGAGAGAGAGAGATAGAAACATCAAAGATGAGAGAATCATTGATTGGCTGCCTCCTGCACATCCCCTACTGGGGGAAAGGGGGAAATTGAACCTGTAACCCGGGCATGTGTCCTTGGCCGAAATCGAACTCGGGACCCTTTAGTCTGCAGGCCAACGCTCTATCCACTGAGCCAAACTGGCTAGGGCTCAACAAGTCTTTATGGAATAACTTTGTGACAGGAACTGTTTCAAGCTACAGTAATGATTTGGTAAATTTATTGAGACTTGTTTTGTGGCCCACCACATGGTTTATCTTGGTAAATGGTCCATGTGCCTTTCAACAATCTTATGAAAAGTGTGATATTTATTATCATCCCAAATTGACAGTGGAGAAAAATGAGGCTTATGTACTTCAACTTCCCTTAAGGATTAATCCTATCCAGCTAGTAAGTGGCAACATGATATTTGAACCAAAATTTCTGGCATCATATTCTGAGCGCTGAACTTTCTCCTTTACATATAAAACTGAAGAAAAAATGGTTCTTTTTTTTATTATTATTTTACCATGCATTTGCCTGTAGGGAAAAATCAACAATTTCTAATCATACCCCTGAAAACAATATTTCCTTTGTTTGAGTCATGAGGATTTTCATCAAATAATGTTCAATAGTGGATCATAGTCCATAATTCTACTGAGTTGCCAAGAAGGAATATTTGATTAAAAGTAATTAAATATTTGCTACAATTTATGATTATGTAAGATGATTGCATTGAGCATAGCATCATTAAGCATCCAACAAATTTTGTTTTGCTGTTGAAGAATGATGTATTTAGGTTTTGAAGCTGGATTTTCCTTCTGAACATTTTCAACTAGTACCTAGTATGCACACTATTAGGCAATAATTAAAAGAACAGTTTTTAGATTTTTCAGTTTTGTGAGCATCATTTGGAAAATTAATCTGAATGGAATAAAAATGGCATACAACATTCCAACAGAAATTTAGCTTAGTATTAAGTTAACCTACATGAAAATGCCATTTTGTAGTTAAAAATGATGAACTATTTCTAATTTCATATAGTTCAACTTAATAAATTCTCATATTCCATATGGATGAATTCAGCAGGAAAGTAAGCTCTGCTAAGACAGGACTCTGGGTTTTGTTCACTATTGTGCACATGGTAGTCGCTCAGAAAATGGATGTTGAGTGAATGAATAAGGAGAGCAAATAAAATGTGGTAACTAACCTTGCATTCTTTTTTAAAATAAAGTTTATGTTTTTATTGTGTTTTTTTTTTTTAGAGAGAGACATCAATGTGAGAGAAACGGCCATCTGTTGCCTCCTGAACCTGCAACCTTGCAGTGCATGGGATGGTGCTCAACCGGGCCACACCGGCCAGGGCTAATCTTGTATTCTCATACAACATGCCTTTGGGTTTAGGTTTGGTGTGGAAATAAGAACAATATCATGATATGCATTAGTTAGAGTAAAATGCATTTTAAGAGTAAGATGATAAAATTTCTAATTAAAAACCCTACCCCCCAAAATTAAAAACATATGTCCACACGAAAACTTGTCCATGAATATTCATAGTAACAGTATTCTTCATAGCCAAAAGTGGAAATAACCCAAATGTCCATCAACTGATGAGGATTTAAATAAAATGTAGTATATTTATTCAATGGAATAGTATTCAGCCATAAACAGGAATGGTAGGTACTATAACATGAATGAATTTTGAAAACATTATGCTCAGTGAAAGCAGCCAGATACATGTATTATTTATTGACATAAAATGTCCAGAATGGGCAAATCGATACAGACAGAAAGTACATTAGTGGTTGCCAGGGTCCAGAGTCAAGGGAAAATGGGGAGTGACTGCTGATGGACACAGGGCTTATTTTTAAGGCGATGAGAACATTCTGGATTTAGATAGTAGTGATAGTTGTATATCCTTGTGAATATACTAAAAACCACTAAGTTGTATGTATACTTTAAAATTAAGGGTGGCCCTGGTCAGTTTGGCTCAGTGGATAGAGTGTCGGCTTGTGGACTGAAGGGTCCCAGGTTTGATTCTGGTCAAGGGCACATGCCCTGGTTGGGGGCTCAATCCCCAATAGGAAGTGTGCAGGAGACAGCCAATCAATGATTCTCTCTCATCATTGACGTTTCTATATCTCTCTCCCCCTCCCTTCCTCTCTGAAATCAATAAAAATATTTTAGAAAATGAACTTAAGGGTGAATTTTATGGTATGAGAAACATTTCAATTTTAGTAAGTAGGGAAAACACTCAAGTTCTTTTCAGAACATGTAAACATACACTATAAAATAATAGATATGTGTTTATAAATAAGCGTATTAAAAAATGTTCCCTTGTTTAATTATAAATCGAGTGGAATGTTTGGGGATTTCAGTAATCTGACAGGGAACATTAAGAGGATTAACCTGACCCCCAGTGTTAACGCCACCAATTTAAACTGCATCACTCAAAAACTACAGTCATATTAAAATAATTGTAGAAATGACTTCCACGAAAAACAATACCAATCAGCTTAATTACCCATTAAAGTTGTCATCACTTTATTATTATTTTTTTGTCATCAATTTAAATACCTTATAGTTATATAATGCTTTTACTTCCTCAAGTATTGAATTATGGCTTAAGATCTATTGTATGGGAGAGTCACATCTCTAACCATTTAATTAAAGGCAGAGAAGTGGGTGGGATTGGACAGAAATCTATTAGCAATGCTGACATTCCAGACAGGAACACAAAGTGAAGCAGGATTTAAGAAACCTGCAGATGGTTCAATAACAAGAATTAAAACTGCTACATTCTACTACTAGTTAAAAAACATATTGAAATACAACATACATATATATTAGTAAATGTGTATACATCCTGAAGTGTAGACTACGAATTTTCCTAAGTGAACATTCCTTTGGAAACAGCCTCCAGATCAAGAAAGAGAACACAGCAGACAAAACTAGTTTTTGTTTTGTTTTTAAGCCAAAGAGAATATTAAAATTGTTTAAATCACGCCCCCGAGATTCTCCATCAACCACAGTTAAATTTGGGAGGGCGCAGAGGACCCTGAAGTGGTAATAACTGAATACCGTGGTGTGTGTTTAATTTTGATGGCAAATCTACCGACACCAATATCTAGGGTACTTCACCTTCATTTAACTACTCCTTTTTCTGGATCCAGAGATGAAAAACGGTTCCTAAATTTACGCATGGCTTTTGAAAATCTCCCACATCTGGATTTCCAACAAAACTTGAACCAAATTTTTGGAGCAGGAAAGTGCTGTGCGAGACGTGGTTTCCCTGCCAAAGTGCGGAGCAACCCTGGCCCCTCCCTCTTCAGGAGGAAAACAGTCCCCTGCAGACCTCACTCCGAAACCTGCGGAGCTCCGAGCGCGCCCCGGGGTGGCCCACGACCACCCCCGGGTTCCCGGGAGCCCGAGCCCTTTCTCTCGCTGGGTCCCCGCACCTACGCCCGAAACAAGGAGCTTTTCCTTTAACTCCGCGCTCTGCAAGGGTGTGCGGAGCAGGCCGGCTCCTCCCGCCTCCTTCTCCACCTCTCCCTTCCCCCTCCCATCCGAGTTTCAGGTGAATGGGTCACGGAGGGAGGAGGCTGCCACACTACACCTCCACCTCCGGCGCAGACGGCGGACTCCGGGGAGAGCTGGCCAGAGCGTCGAGGAGCCCGTGCCGGGGACAGCAGGTGGGGTCGCCCGGGCGGGGCCGCCCACCTCCCGCAGCCCGGCCTGGCATTGGTGCGCATGCTCGGGGGCTGGGCGGCCGGGGTGGGGTGGGGGGACCCAAGTGGAGAAGGAGGAGGGCTGAGTCCCTAGCAGGTCCTGGGGTGAGGGCCGGCGGTCGGCACAGCGTCAGGTGCGCCGGCCAGGTGAGCGCGCTCCTCGGCTCCCGCCGTCCTTGGTGGATCTGGTGGGTCGGGCTGGGCTGCTGTGAGTTGGTGAGAGTTGGGCGCGGCGCCCGGGGCGCACGGTACCCCGGAGTCCCCGCTGGTACCGCGGCGCCTCGGTCTGGTAGGGGAAGCGCGGGGGAAGGGCGCTCGGGGCTGGTTTCGGTGGCGGTTTCGCCCCGGGACTGGGACTCGCGGGAACCGGTGAGGCGCGGGTGCGCGGAGCGAGGCTACCGTGGACGCTGCGCCCCGGAGCCGGGGCCACTTGGAGGCGCCGATTAGCTTATTTGGCGGAAACGCTTTATTGTACCTGTGCCCAGGCGCGGACAACTTTTCGCTTTTAGGAGGCGGGAGGTTCGCGAACAGTGAGACTCCGGCGCTGCGCTCTCCGGGCTGCGGTTCTTGGGGGTTCTCAGGGAGAGGGGCGCGGCGCCCGGCTCCTCGGGGGTCCTGAGCCCCAGGGCTGGAGCGATGGGGGCGCTCGCTGGCCAGGGGGCTTAGATCCCGGGGGACCTCGTCACTCCCGCCCCCACCTCACCCCTTTGGGTGTCCCAGGGAGAGAGGGTGGCTGGTTGAAAATTCGGATTCCTGTTTTCCGGAGGGGCCGGGGCGCCCAAACCCATCTGTTTAAAGTTTGGGCTAAGTTAGAGGGATGCCGCATGTCCCCCCTGAGATATAGGCGGCGGGACGTGTATTCATTTTGTGCGCGGCTGTCTTCCAGGAGATCCGCTCACGCTCGGATTTTCAGCCGTACGAAAGGCTTCGGTGGGCTCTAGCCCCCCCTGCGCGCCCCGCCGCGGAGGGTGCTCTTGGGCGGGGCGGGGGCGCGCGGATCCCGGGCCGCGGGTTTTTGAGCCCTCCCGGTCACGCAACCATGTTGCCTTTTTCGGAGAAAGTGCCCCGGGGGGGGGGGGGGGGGGGGGAAGGTGGGTTGAGGGGCCAAAATGGCCTCTGCACCTTGGGGCTGGAAAAACAATTCCGAGCCCCTCGTGTCCCTGGTGAAGCGACCGGGCGGGAGCTGCCCTGGGGCCGGCTGGGCAGGCTGCCCACCGGGGAAGTGACCCGGAGCGGGGAGGAGGCAGCCTTCCAGGTTAGTGTGTGGCCCTCGGGCACAACAGGTGTATTATTGGGATCCCTGGAAAAGAGAAACCCTTACCTTTAAGGCACTGCTGGCCATTCTTGCTGTGATTGAAATGAGTTCTTTTTATCCAGAGTAGATTTCTCAAACTGCTCATTCCCAACTATAACAATGTTTCTTTTGCATTGTACATTGGATCTTTATTTTGAATTTCTGATATTTAAAAAAATTGATATTTTAAATGGTGGAGCCACAGTAATAGATAACTCCTCAGACAAAGCAACACTTTTTTTTTTGTAGTTTTGCATTTATTGAGCTATTAGATGCCTCCTTTGTTAGGTGATGGAGAGGAGGATAGTGAGATTTAGACAACTCGCAGGTTATTTTAGGGGAATCATGGGCGGTGCCTCCTGTTTTCGAAGCACTGTTCTAAAGGCTTTTGTACTTCTATCATTTAATCAACCACTCTGAAAGGCAGGCCTTATTAGAATTCCATGGTAAAGGTGAGTAAACACCTTTAAACCTAGTTACTTTCTCAATCTTGAATGTGGTATGAATCACCTGGGGATCTTATTAAAATACAGATTCTGATTCATAGGTAAGAAGTGGGGCCTGGAATTCCGCATTTCTAAGGAATTCTCAGGTGATGCCCACATGTTTGTGTATTTCACCGTTTTCTCTCTTTTTCCTCTCAGACTGTAAGCTCAGTTATGTTTGTTGAACTTAAAGGATTGTATTTACTGGGTGTTATGAGTGAAGAACTTCAATCTGGTCACGGGTGGATTGAAACCCCAGCTGTAATATGGGCTGTTGGTCTTTATAAATCAGGTATTGGTAGATCATCACTTTGTACCAGGGATCAGGGATAACAGTGATGGTCAAAACAGACATCTGAGTGCTTGTGAAGATGGTATTCCAGTTGGGGTGGAGAGGGGAGGGGAAGAAAGAAAGAAAAGAAAAGAAAAGCTAATAATTTAGTTGGTGGTGGTGGGGGGAAATGCCCTCTGAAAATAAAACAGGTTTAGTGGATGGAGTGAGTGACGGGGAGGGCCTCTCTGAGGAAGTCAGACACTTGCACTGAGAACTGAACCACAGGCACTGCCAAGTGAAGATCTGAGTGTCCTGGACAGGAAACACAATATCAATGCTTTTGTTTGAGACAGTGATTCTCAGAATTATGGTGTGCTTAAAAATTATCTGGAGAGCTTATTTAAAATGCAGTTTCTGACACACAGCTCAACTATTTCAAAGTTTGCCTAATTTCAAAAATTTAGGCAGTTTACTAATGAAGTGCCTATAACCTAAATATCAGGCACAACTTAAAAAAAAACTTCTTAGACACAAATTAACTATTGCTGTATGAGATTGAGAAGGAGCAGACTGCCCTTCAATACTATAAAGTTTATTTTTTATTTTTTTGACAATTTGCTTTAAGGAATAATTTTGGGCATAGTATTTTCAGACTTTTCTACTTCATCTTAGCTTGTTTTTGTTTGTTTTTTTTTTTGTTTTGTTTTTAGGACAGCTTTAGACCAGTAAACATTTTCAAGAAGAGAACTTTTGTTATATGTTAACATTAGCTGGCTTTCAGCATAACATTCTACAAGTGTTTGCTGCTTCTCTTTTGCCCCTGACTTTTACTCAGCTGTTTGACTTATGTCCCTTTCACTGTTACAACTTGCTGTGCTGGACATTGGACAACAGTCTGTTGTATCTTGGCTCACTTTCTACTTTGGCTGTCGCCTCAAAGCACAGTCACAGACTGCCTTGAGAGAGACCTTTTAAGTCCCGTCCAGTCCCCCCAAATATCAAACAACTTAAGCTTTGCATAATTGGCATCAGATCTAGTTGTTAGTTGTTATTTTTTGGAGGGTGTGTGGGGTCAGGGTGAGGGAGAAACTTCCTAACATTGAGAGGGAATCTGACCCTGGTGGTGTGTGTGTGTGTGTGTGTGTGTGTGTGTGTGTGTGTGTGTGTGTGTGTTTCAAATACCATGTCTAGGACGACAAAGGGGGTTCTTCAGATATTGAAGGTTGCCATAGCGGTCCTTCTAATGTTGAGTTCTCCAGGCCAAACATTTCCTGTTTTTCCATTCATTTGTGTTAAGACATGATTTTTCTAGATCTTCAGTAATCTTAATCACCCTTTGGAGAGGGAGTTAATTGGAACATGATGCACAGATTTTAAGATATTGCAGAGGTTTGCTTCTTTTTAATTACTGTGTCATTCCTAGATTCAAGCACTATCTCTGTGAGTACTATCTGAGTTTGGAATAATATGTTAACTTTTGTTGAAATTCTCACCAAGGAAATGCACTTTTAAAAATGGACAGTTATTATTTTTTTAAATATATTTTATTGATTTCTTACAGAGAGGAAGGGAGAGAGATAGAGAGTTAGAAACATCGATGAGAGAGAAACATCGATCAGCTGCCTCCTGCACATCTCCTACTGGGGATATGCCTAGATTCAAGCACTATCTCTGTGAGTACTATCTGAGTTTGGAATAATATGTTAACTTTTGTTGAAATTCTCACCAAGGAAATGCACTTTTAAAAATGGACAGTTATTAAGCCAGCTCTCCTTATCCAGTATTTATACTATTAATTTTTAAAAATTGAGTTAACATTTAAAAAATGTTTTTATTCATTTTAGAGAGAGAGGAAGGGAGCGGGAGAGAGATAGAAACATCTATGAGAGAGAAACATTAACATTGATAGGTTGTTTCCTGTATACCCCCTACTTGGGAATTGAGCCGTAACCCGAGCATGTGCCCTGACCTGGAATCCAGCTGTGACCTCTGGGTTCATGGGTGGATGCTCAACCACTGAACCACACTGGCCAGGCTTAATTCGTTGTTTTATTTAGTTATCCCACCTCAGAGCTTAGGGTTAGCCCCCATTTGACAGAGGAGGGTAGTGAGGCTCAGAGATGAGGAACTTGTGCCAGGCAATGAGTTTTTACAACCACTAGGTTTCTTTCAATCATCCTTTCATCCTTCCGACCTTACGGAGAACTTGATCAGTGTTGATAGACTTGTAGCCAGTGGGGTCCTTAGCTGCAAATCTGGATAAGCTTGTTGCCTCCACTTTGTGTGTACAGAACCACTAGAGACCTCCCTGCAGGTGGACATAAATGGTCCATCCTTTCATCTTAATTAGATTCCATTCTTCAGCTCCTTAGAAATCTGCCCAACACAGTCTGTACAGCAGGGATGTGCTCAAGATTCTCAGGATTCTCTCTGCACTTCCTTCATCTACCAGCCTGGTCACCTCCAAAAAGGAGATGAAGTTGGTGTGGCATGACTTGTTCTTAATTAGCTTTCTAAAATTAATTTGCTTCACAATTTAAAATCTGTTATTAGAGGAGTCATGACAACTAAACTCTGAATCTAGGAAATAGTAGTTTGGAAAGGGATTTTCTTGTTTGGATTTTTGACAAAACTTAAACTGTGGTCTGGGTCTGGATTAAGTTAGAATGTTCAAAAGCCATCATTGAGCCTGGAATTTTTGGCATAGTCTTGAATGAGTGAGTGAGAGGTATAGAAGGAATAAGATTCCTCCTCTCAGGTCAGTCAGTCAGTATTTGACATTCAGCTTCAGAAATAGTGTCTAAATTCAGTTTTTCTTAATATTTTTCTGAATCTCAATTAGGGAGACATTTAACCTGGACTTTGACTCTTTAAAAAAAAATATTGTTGAAAGTATTAAATATGTCCCCTTTTTTCTCCCATTGACCTCTTCTAGCCCGCCCCCACCCTCCCCCCAGCCCCAGGCCTTCACTACCCTATTGTCTGTGTTCAGAGGTTATGCATATATATGCCTACAAGGTCTCTTCCTATCCCTCAACCACCACCCCCCACCCTCACCCCTGTCTTCCCTCTGAGATTCGACAGACTGGACTTTTACTCTTATAGCACCATAATATTTTGGCCTAAATTGCTCATTTATATGTGTGTTTGGATGCTAGTTATAGGGCTTTGTAAACCTATGACTTGTGTACTTTCTGTATGTTTCAGTCAATAAGGTGGTTTTTAGAAGTAAAAGAATGTAGAGAAGTTGTCTTCCCTCTTTGTGTTTGGAAAAGTTATGTTAACTATTGATGTTACTAACATTCACTGTATTTCCATCTTCGAGGTTTTATGTAATATACATTTAGGCAGTATTTTATTCTAAGACATTTGGAATTCATTGTCCTTAAGGATGTAGGCAATAGCTGCCGTTGCTTTTAAAGAATAAAGTTTAAAGAGTTTGAATTGATTCAGTTTCTAACACAGTGATGCAAGATTACACATACTTTATTTGAGAATAAAAAACATTAGACACTTTAATATATTCAGATATATAGATTTTTTTTTTTTAGATATATAGATTTTTTAATATTTCTTTTTAGAGAGAGAGAAATATCAATTTGATTGGTTGATTCTTTTTTTTTTTTGTCAGTTCTCAGTAAGGATATTTTTTCGTTCTCAGTAAGGATATTTTTTCCATTAATTTTTAGAGTGGGAGGGAGGGAGGAGTGAGAGAAAAAGAGAGAGAGAGAGAGAGAGAGAGAGAGAGAGGTGTGAGAGACATATCGATTGGTTGCCTCCTGCACACACCCCAGTCTAGGTCAGGGATGGAACCTGCAACTCAGGTACCAGGAATGGAACCTGCTACCCTTTGGTGCATGGGCCAACACTAACCACTGAGCAACGCCAGCCAGGGAAGATATAGGTCTTGCTCAATTGTTCTTCCTCCCTTCCTTCCTTTCCGCTTCCTCTTTAAGTCTTTGGTCATCCCCATACTGCACTTTATCACATAATTCGGTCCTAATTAATGCCTGTTGCAGTAGGCTGGGTGACCTTCAGGAGGACTTTGTCTCATACTTAATTTCCACAGGTCCTGTGATATAGCAGAGGCACTTAATAAATACTTGTTGATTGAATGAAATTGGGACAAATTGAGAAATGTTAGAACAAATCATTCTGCTTTTGCCTTAGAGGACTCTTTAATACAATGTGCATTTAATGTTTTTCCCCCCATAATTTATAAAAATTATGTCTGGTTTTGAAGATTTAGAAAAGCAGAATGGGAAACTAACTGTCCACAATCCCACCATTCATAGATGCATCTTGTAATCATTTGTAATGAGAAAAATATACTTTTTAAACCAGCTTATGCTATAGTTAACATTGATGGCCTAGTATGTGTTAGACTGCTAGATATGCACTTTTTTTTCTTTTTAAAAAAGGTATTTTTATTGATTTCAGAGAGGAAGGGAGAGAGAGAGAGAAACATCAGTGATGAGAGACAATCATCTATCTGCTGCCCCCTGCACACCACCTACTGGGGATTGAGCCTGCAACCCAGGCATGTGCCCTGACTGGGAATCGAACCATGATCATATGTCAATGCTCAACCACTGAGCCACACCGACTGGGCGATATGCACTTTCATATGCGTTCTCATTTTATATGAACTTTCCAAAGTAATATGAAACAATATATTTAAATACTGTTTTTTTCTCATACCCATCTTGTTATTTGAAGAGACTGTTTTAAAAAAATAAATACAAATTTTTTACCTATGCTGTAGAAGCATTGTGAATTTTTTATTACTACAATATAGAATTTCAAAGTAAACAGTGTTTGTACGCCGGTGATACACAGAGCATGGTGTGAGGTGCTGGGAGGACTCCCAGGCTGAATAATTCCTGTGCTCAGTGGTTTCCTCTGCTCAAGGAATTAATGGTCCAATGTATAAAATAGCAATGGGAAGGGCCAGAGAAATAAACGTGGTGTGAGAAGTTACTTGAGATTGGTATCACTAGTTTTCTTAGTGATGCAAGGAAACTCTGAGCTCAGTAGTAATGCCGTTACCCTACTTATGTTGCTTAGATTGGCTTATCTTGGGAGCTACAGGACATTGCTCATCTGAAGATCAGGTGACCACTGACCATGTCATCGAGGCCTTTTGAAAGTCCCCCTCCATATAGACCTGATGAATTGTAAGTAAATATTTCTTCAGTTTTCCTTTAACAAAAGTCTATCACATGTAAAAAAAAAATATGTACCTATTGTTGAAATTTTCATCTATTCTTTGTTTGCTTTTAAAAATAAAATATGTGTATTCAGTGAAAAATGAGTTTCCCTCTTACCCATAACTTCCAGGATGAGTTTTTCTCTGCAAAGGCAACTATTGTTACCTGTTTCTAATGTTTACTTCGATATAGTCTAGGCTTATATTTGTATGTATATTTATTCCTTTTGTTTTCACAATTGTTATGACACTTCCATATTAATGCCTTGTTTAAATCACCATTGGCAACATGGCATCAATTTTTTAAATAACACTTTTATTGAGGTATAATACACACATCATACAATCCACTCATTTAGAATGGACAGTTCAGTGATTTTAATGTATTCACAGCGTTGTGGAAGCATCACTATTTTAGAACATTTTTATGACCACCTCCCCAAAGACACCCTTACCCATTAGAAGTCACTCCCTATTTCCCCCTTGTACTCAGCAACCACCAGTCTACTTTTCTGTTCTAGGTTTGTCCATTCTGGACATTTCATAAAAATGGAATCATACATGTGGTCTTATAATATACTAGAGGCCCGGTGCATGAAATTTGTGCACGGGGGCGGGGAAGGGAGATCCCTCAATCTGGCCTGCACCCTCTCCAATCCGGGATCCCTCTCGCAATCCAGAACCACTGGCTCCTTACCACTCACCTGCCTGCCTGCCTGATCCCCCTAACTGCTCTCCCCTCCTGGCCTGATTGCCCTAACTGCTTAACTGCTCTCCCCTGCGAGACTGATTGCCCTAACTGCCTAACTGCCCTTCCCTCCTGGCCTGAACCCCCTAACTGCCTAACTGCGACCTTCTCCCTTCTCCCTTCTCCCTTCTCCCTTCTCCCTTCTCCTCCCTTCTCCCTTCTCCCAGAGCCGCCTTCTCCCTTCTGCCTTCGCCCTATTCCCCGAGCCACCTTCTTCCTTTCTACTGCGTTCCTTTCTCCAGCGGCCTCTGTAAAGAGGGACGTCTGGAGCTGGACCGGCCCTCACAGCCTCTGTGGCTGCAGCCCTCAGCCCTTGCAGCCACTGTGGCTTTGTCTGGAGGATGCCTGGAAGACATCTGGTCTAATTAGCATATTACCCTTTTATTAGTATAGATTTTTATTGATTTCAGAGGGGAAGGGAGAGGGAGAGAGAGAGAAACATCAATGATGAGAGAGAATCATTGATCAGCTGCCTTCTGCACACCCCCTACTGGGGATCAAGCTTGCAACCCAGGCATGTGCCCTTGACTGGAATCGAACCTGGGACCCTTCAGTCCGCAGGCTGACACTCTATCCACTGAGCCAAACCAGCTAGGGCTCTGATTGACTTCTTTCACTTACCATGATGTGTTCTACATTGTCGATTTTAAGAGTGATTCTTGCCATTATATAAAAGAAGCAAAATTGATGGTTCTTAGCATCCCTAATTATTTGGGGATTTAACAGTGAATTCTTCCATTTTAAATTTGTTAGCAAGCATTGCTAGGGATTGCCTCCTTTAAGTAGTTGTAGCTTTAACTCTTTGGTAATTGTAGTGGGGTTGTGTTCGTATTACATAACCTCCTGACTAATACTTGAACATGGTATCGACATAGTTGTTTATGACAATGTGGTCATTAAAATGTTAGAGAATATAGTTACTGAGTTGTGTTCCATTAGCCTGATGTTTATCTTATGTTGCTTTTATAAACGATGGTGAAATATAATATACAAATAGAAAAGGGCACAGAACTTGTGTATAAGATGATGAGTAAAGACAAAACAAAATCATCACCTAGGTCAAGAAACAACACCTCAAAGTCCTGTTCTGACAGGACTTTGCTTTTCTCTGTTATCTCACCATCCCAAAGAGTACATAAGTTTTACTTGTTTGTAAATTTTCTTCATTTTTGCTTCAGAGTAGTGCTATACAAATATAATGAGTCATATCATTTCAACACAAGATTCATATAAAGACTGATTCATGGGATAGTGTACATTCTGGGTATGTTTTTTTAAGCCTTTATATTTTAGAGCAATTTTACAATCATAGCAAAATTGAGAGGAAGGTACAGAGATTTCCCATATTCTTCCTACCCCCACACATGCATAGCATCACCCGTTATCAACATCCCCACCAGAGTGATAACGTTTGTTATAATTGATGAACCTACATTGACACACCATTATCAGCCGTAGTACATAGTTAATGTTAGGGTTCTCTCTTGCTGGTCTTACATTTTTCTTCATCTTGTGATCACTGTGTATTTTACACTTAAAAGCACATCTTAGTTTGGACTGGCCACACTTCAAGTGGTCAGTAAATCCATGTGGCTAGTGGCTGCCATATGAGAGCATAGCTCTGTATGGATATATCACAATTAACCATTACATCGGGTCCCTGGATCCAGTTCTAATGTGGGGGGTTCCCCACACACCAACAAACAATTCTCAGGATACCAGCAGGGTGCCCTCAATTCTGACAGTAGCTACCTGGAGATAGAGTTCGATTCCATAAGTTAGGGTTCAATTCTGCAAGACTGCTTCCCTCCACCCCACTAATAATTCTCAGATAACAACAGGTTGTTCAAGAATTCAACTCAGTTTATCCAGAGATAGCATTAGATTCCACACCCCCTAACATACCTACTTCAGAGGTTAGCCACAAGGCCAGGCTCTCCATGCTTCTGACCAACTGGCTACAGATTGGAGGTTCCAACGACCCTCTCCAACTCAGAATGCCACGCTGTTCCCTGCACTTCCGACTAGCTATAAATCAGAGGTTCCCACAGCTCTCTCCTTGGGTTCAATTAATTTGCTAGAATGATTCACAGGACTCAGAGAATCATGTTACTTCCTTGATCACTGATTTATTATAAAGGACATAACTCAGCAACAGCCACATGAAAGAAATCCATAGGGCAAGGTATGTGGGAAGGGGCTCAGAGCTTCCATGCCCTTTCCAGGTGCACCACTCTCCGTGTATTTCCACGTGTTCACCAACCCAGAAGCTCTGAACCCTTCTCTTGGGTTTTTGTAGTCTTCGTTACTTAGTAATGATTGATTAAACCATTGGCCTTTGGCAGTTGATTCTCTCCCCTCCCCGGAGGTGGTGTGTGTGGTTGGGTTGAGCATGGAGAGTAGGGGTGAGGACTGAAAATTCCAACTCCCCCATCATTAGTGCTTTCTACAAACCACCTCATTAACATAACAAAAGACACCCCTTTCCCTCAACATTTAGGAAATTCCAAGAGTGCCTGGACTTGTAAGCCAGGAATTGTGGAAGACCAAATACAATGAGAAAAATATATGTGGTCATCTGAGTGAGTGACCAAATATATATATTTCTTATAAATAACAGTATAGCACCCATTTGGACTGTTTCCTGTTTTGGGTTATCACAAGCAATGCTTCTGTGACTATTACACTGTAAGTTGATACAATCATTTTGGAAAACAGTTTGACATTGTCTGGTGGAGCTGAAACTAAAAAAAACAAAACAAAACAAAACAAAAACAGACATTTTACTTCTGGCTACATACCTTAGAAGAATAAGTGCTGTGTGTGCCAGGATACAAGATGTTCAGGATGTTCAAAGCTACACTGTCCACGACAGCCCCAAATATTCGAGTAGGATGGGTTATAGAGCTTTCATGCTTGACATTCTCAAGGACCAGCTTATCAGTTTTCATTCTCATACACTCAGGTAATTTCTTTGAAGCACCTAGCAGTAAGATGTTGTGCCCTGGGGTGAGGAAGGTGGACTATGGGAATAATGGCAAAAACAAAAGGGGCTGAGGTCAGGTTGGGAATTGAATTTTGTTTCCCAAGACATGCAGTTCTTAAATTCAGTCTGTCCACACATCAGTGTGCCTTCTTTCACAAGCCATGTTTATGCATCAATTAGTGGAGTTTACAAGATATTTTTATAAATGAGAATCAGAATCCAATTAGGCATCACCCTGATGAGCCCTCGTTACATATTTGATTTACTTTATAACACCATAACTAATTATAGATCATGTAGGGATTAATGTCTTACGGCCCTGAGGGAGACTCAGCTCTGGGAGGATCCTGGACTGAGACTGTTCTGTTCATCGTTGCATCCCCAGTCACGAGCACAGTGCCAGCCTGGCTCCAGGAAACAGCTGTCAGTTGAATAAATGAATGAATGTGCCTTCTTAGGAGAGTGAGGCTACCAGGAATTGCACATGTGCATCGGTAGGTCATTATAGGTGTCATGTCTGAATGCACTGCTCTCAAGTCACACTGGCAAAAGGGTTGACACCATTGTTTTAAACTTCATGGGTTCCATTTCCAGGTATTGTGATTTAACTGGTATGAAGTTCTCCATCTGGGGATTTTACACATTCCCAGGTGATTCTAATATGTAGCAAAAATTGAGAACTTCTGTTCTATACATAGAAACGAGAGCAGTGATTCTCAAGGTATGGTTCCCAGACCAACAGCATCCCCAGCACCAGGAGAAGTGTCCGATCCCAGGGTAATATGCAGACTCAGCACCTTCAGGGATGGAGGCGCACAGCCCTCCAGGGATTGTGATGCACAGATATCTTTACTGTTCAGTGGGTATCGGAGTCACTTCAGGCTGATAGAACAAAGGACTATAGACTGGGAAGCTCCTGAACAACAGAAATTTATTTCATTTCTGGAGGCTGGAATTCCAAGATAGGGTGTCAACATTATCAGGTCCTGGTGAAGGCCCCCTTCCGAGTTGTAGACTGCCAACTTCTAGTTGAGTCCTCACCTGGCGGAAAAGGTCAGAGAGCTCTCTGAGACCTTTTTTATAAGCGCATTATTCCCATTCATGAGGGCTCCACCTCATGACCAAATTTCCTCCCAAAGGATGCTGACACTTTAATTTTGGGGGACACAAATTGCCCCATGGCAGTGGGGCAGTACCAACAATAGGGTTTTTGTTTGTTTGTTTATTATTTTTGGCCAATGGTTTGTTTAAGTTATTCTAAGTATTTTATACTTTTTTTCTGCTCAGCTCCAAAAAGTGCTAACTTAACATTGTTTTCATGTGCATTTCAGCAAACCAAGTCATTACGCACCAAGCAATGACATGTACGGTGGGGAGATGCATGGTCGCCCAATGCTCTCTCATACGGCATATTCTTTCTACCCAGAAGATGAAATTCTTCACTTCTACAAATGGACCTCTCCTCCAGGAGTGATTCGGATTCTGTCTATGCTCATCATCGTGCTGTGCATTGCCATCTTTGCCTGTGTCGCCTCCACACTTGGCTGGGACAGAGGCTATGGAAGTAACATTCTAGGAGGTGGTATAGGTTACCCTTATCCTGGAAGTGGCTTTGGAAGCTTCGGAAATGGCTATGGTTATGGCTACGGTTATGGCTATGGAACAGGCTATACAGATCCAAGAGCGGCAAAGGGCTTCCTGCTATCTATGGCTGCCTTTTGTTTCATTGCTGCATTGGTGATATTCGTTACCAGTGTTATAAGATCTGAAATATCTAGAACAAGAAGATATTACCTGACTGTGATAATAGTGAGTGCTATCCTGGGCTTCATGGTGTTTATTGCCACAATCGTCTATATAATGGGAGTCAATCCAACTGCCCAGGCTTCTGGATCTATGTATGGGTCACAGATTATTGCCATCTGCAACCAGTTTTATTCACCTACAACTTCTGGGATGTACGTGGATCAGTATTTGTATCACTACTGTGTGGTGGATCCCCAGGAGGTATGAGTAATTTTATTTTTTCACACCTTGTGTTAGAGGCTCAACTCGGGATGCTTAATAGAACCACATTGGGAACTTTTAAACAATATTGTTGCCAAGACCCCACTTCTATTTTAATCAGACTCTGAGAGAAGGGCTAGGTGTCATTATCTATACTAATAAAAGGGTAATATGCTAATTAGACTGGACATCTTCCAGACGACCTTCCATGTGTCCTTCCGGACAAGGCCACTGTGACGGGGTCAAGGCAGAGGTGGTTAGGGGCGATCAGGCCGGCAGGAGAGAGCAGTTAGGGAGATCCGGCCGGCAGAGGTGAGCAGTTAGGAGCCAGTGGTCCCAGATTGCAAGAGGGATGTCCGACTGCTGGTTTAGATCTGATCCCTGTCTGATTTAGACCTGATCCCTGTGGGATCAGGTCTAAACCGGCAGTTGCACATCCCCGGAGTGGTGTCCCGGATTGGACCTCTCCAGGCCAGGCTGAGAGGCCCCCCCCCCCCTGCATGAATTTCATGCACTGGGCCTCTAGTCTACAATAATAAAAGTGTAATATGCTAATTTTGACTGGACAGCTGAATGACCTTCCAGATGTACTTCCGGACGAAGCTGGGGCTGCGGCTGTGAGGGCCCAGCCCCTTGCACGAATTTTGTGCATCGGGCCTCTAGTTGAGATATAATTAACATACCACATAATTCATCCATTTAGAGTACAGTTCGTTGGTTTTTAGTATATTCACAGAGTTGTGCAACCATCACCACAATTAACACTTTCACTATTCCCCAGGGAACATTTCACTAATTCAAACAGTCAATTGTCATTTTCCTAACTCTTCCCAGACCTATTCTATAGATTTGCCTATTCTGGATTTCATATAAACAGAATCACATAATACATATGCAGTTTTTTATGATTGACTTAATTTAGCATAATGTTTTTAAGGTTCATGTTGTAGCAGGTACCAGTACTTCATTCCTTTTAATTGCTGAACTAGTGGCCCGGTGCACAGATTCATGCACATTGAAAGGAAGCGGGGCCGTGCTCCCTCCTCTCTGGTTCCGGGGTGCGTCGCCCGAGAACCACCGCTGCCAAGTCACCGCAGCTTGGCAATAAACCAGTTCAGGGCTAACAGTGCCCCAGCAACAATGTAACCCACGGCCGGACTGAAGGTGGAGTCACGTGGCCCCGGGAGGAATTGGGCTCCCTCCTCTCTGGTTCCGAGGTGTGTCACCCGAGAACCACTGCTGCCACCATAGCTTGGCAGCTCCTGCGTTCAGCATCTGCCCCGGTGGTCAGTGTGTGCCATATGTACCAGCCGGTCGGGACTGTCGGATGGTCAGATGGTCACTTGGCCTTTTATGTATATAGATAATAGTTCTTTATTTGGATATACCAAATTTTTTTATTCATTAGTTGATGGACATATGGGCTAATTCCACATTGGCTGTTATGAATAATGCTCTGAACATTTGTGTATAAGTTTTTGTGTGAACCTGTGTTTTAATTTCTCTTGACTCTATACCTAGGGGTGGAATTGCTGAGTCTTATGGTGACTTTGTGCTTAACCTTTTGAAGAACTGCCAGACTTTTCCAAAGTGGTTATATTACTTTAAATTTACCAGAAACATATAGGATTCCAGTTTATGCACATTCTCACCAAAAGTGTTTTTGCTTCATTTTGGTTTGGATTTGCATTTCTTTGACAGCTAATGAAGGATGTTGAACTTGTTTTCTTTGTGCATATATCTTCTTTGGAGAAATGGCTATTAGAATCTGTCAATTTTTTAACTGGGCTACTTGTATTTTTATTATTGAGTTGTAAGACCTCTTTATATATCTGAATACAAGTCCCTTATAGATGTGTGATTTGCAAGTATTTTCTCTCATTTTGTCATTTTCATTTCACTTTCTGTATATGGTTCTATTGTTCTCTGCACAAAAGCCTTTCATTTTGATGAAGTTTGATTTTTCTTTTGTTTGTGCTTGTGGTGTCATATCTAAGAACACCTGACCTAATTCAGAGTCACAAAGATTTACTCCTGTGTTTTCTTCTAAGACATTTAATTTTAGCTCTTTCAGTTAGGTCTGTGATCCATTCAGTTAGGACATAGTATAAGGAAGGAGTCTAACATTCTTTGTGCAGTTATATTAGTATTATTTATTGAAAGGACTATTTCACCATGAAATTGTCCATGCCCTAGTCAAAAATGAATTGACATTAACTGTCAGGATTTATTTCTAAACTCTCAATTTTATTCCATTCATCTATTTTCTGTCCTTATGCTAGTACCTCACTATCTTGATTACTGTAGCTTTGTAGTATGTTTTGAAACCAGGAAGTGGGAGTTTGCCAGCTTTGTTCTTTTTCAAGATTGTTTTGGCTAAATTCTGGTCTCCTGTGTTTTCATATGAATTTTGGGATCAGCTTGTAAATTTCTGAAGGGAAAAAGAAGCCAGCTAGAATTTTAATTTTGAAGGATTGCATTGAATCTGTAGATCGATTTGGGGAGTATTGTCATCTTTACATCAAGTCTACTAATACATGAGCATAGTATGTCTTTCCATTTACTTAGGTCATCTTTAATTTCTTTCAAAAGTGTTTTGTAATTTTTAGAGTGTAAGCCAGTATTTTTAAAAGCTATCCAGGTGATTCAAATGTGCAGGTGGGGTAGAAAACCCTGCCTTCAGTAGCCATGAGTCACCCCCTAATTATATTCAGAAAATGTTTCTGGGTTACTAACTGACTCAGGAATTCTCATTCTTTTGCCTCTTTTGAAGACTGAAATGTTTTTCCCTGCAATTGTAGGTTTTCAGAATGTTTGTGGTTGACATTCAGATGTATCTATGGTAAACAGGGCTGACGGTCGGTACTCCTATCCTACCACAGCCCCATCCTTTTTAGTCCTCCTACTACCCAAACCGGTATTCTTTAAGGAAGGATATCACTGTGAGATAGCTGCGGAGAGAGCCTCCTGCTACCATACATCCAGGGCAGAGTCCTGGTGCCTGCCTCAACTCCAGGTGCCTCTGGGCCAGCATACCACTTAACACATCTACCAGGCACTGGGAGAACAGTCATGGGTAGGGTTTCCTTGTCACAGAGCCCTTTCTAGTAAGTAGATGAAAGACTCCAAAACAGAAAAACCTGCCAGACTAAATGAATCATTAGTCAGGTTCCTCTGATTTATAGCTCGGTTAGATTATGCCTGCATACTTAACGGTAAGGCCGATCCTCTGTAAAATACGGCCCCTTGGTGCTCAAGCTTTAGTTGGGAATAGTTTCCTGTAAAATTCTGAAATGGGGATGATGGTAGTACCTAACGTTAGTTAACTGTATTCTGAGGATTGAATTAAGGGGGGTGTGTGTTTTGCTAGCATTAGCTTAACTAGTATGGGTAGGTTTTATAGTTCTAAAATGTAGCCATTTGTATTAGTTTTATATCAGTTAAGTCACAGATATTTAGTAGGGTATTTGTAGAGGGTGGATTAGGTACTTGTAGAGGGTGCATTGAGCTGAAGTAAGCAATTAAAATGTAATTATATCATTATCTTTCCTCTCTTTAGGCCATTGCCATTGTGCTAGGATTCATGGTTATTGTGGCTTTTGCTTTAATAATTTTCTTTGCTGTGAAAACTCGAAGAAAGATGGACCAGTATGACAAGTCGAATATTTTGTGGGACAAGGAGCCTGTTTATGATGAGCAGCCCCCCAATGTTGAAGAGTGGGTAAGTATTCGAATGATCAGCAAGCATCCAATCTTTCATTAAACCCCTAGGTTTCTGTCTCTGAACTTGACCTTTAGTGCTTTGTGAAACTCTGTTCTTAGAATTATTGTCTATGTTGCAAAAGTTTTGGTCTCAGGTTTTACTTGAAGAAGGTGGGATAAGTAGAAATTATTTTACTACAAGGTAAAAATCTTATTTCCATTTTCAAGAAGTAGATCTAGGCACTGAAAATGGATTGATTCTAAAGTAATCGTGTGGGAAAAAATAAATAAACTAATCATGTTGAAGGAACTAACACAACTCAAACAACTCCCCACCCCCACCCAGTCACCTTTTACTTTCCTGCTTATCCTTTGGAGGGAAACACTATTACCCAGGGTACTCTCTGGGGTCAAGATTGCCAAAGGGTGTTTTTGGAGAGGTAGCAGGTGGCAGACTTAAACTCTTTACATGGAGAACAGCCTGGTGAATCCCAGTGTCTGGTTCTGCACTAATATTCACAGTATCTATGAAATACTTAATGAGGCTGAGAGAGATTAGAGCAATTTCCTTTTTTGTATACAGTGGGGCCTTGACTTACGAGTTTAATTCGTTCCGAGACAGAGCTCCTTAAGGAGCTCGTTAACTCAAATTACTATGTCAATTCAATGCAAAAAATCGGCCGAGAAACAGCTGGTATCTCAAAAAACTCGTTAGTCGGGACACTCGTAAGTCAAGGCCCCACTGTATACAGTTAACCTACTGGTAGGCAGCTTCCTATGTGATGTGATTTGCGGAAAGCCCACAAAGTCTCTCTCTTCAAAAATATCTCCCCAATGCATGTTATTGAAAACCTAACCTGTCTTTGAGAAGTTTGGAGTAAGACTTCGTTTCTTAGAAATCCTGTTAGGATGCTGTTGGGAACAACCCCAGAAATGGCCATCATAGGTTTCTTTGAGCAGATTGATTGCTTCCACGAGGGTTAGTTGAGAATCCTAGATACTGGTTCCAGGATGGGATTTTTTATTTACTTATTTGTTGGCTGGTGGGAGGTCAGTGGAAAGGGCTAAGGGTGGGTACTGCTGGTCAGGGGTAAAGATATTGATCATCCCGAAGGCTCCTTTAGCTGTAGCATCGCATACATCTTGTGTTGGAAGGATTCTAGAAATGTAGATGAAATGTATATTTTTACTGATTTTACAGAGAGAGGAAGGAGCGGAAGAGAGCGAGAGAAACATCAATGTGAGAGAGAAACATTGAATGGTTGCTTTCTGTGTGTCCTGACCAGGATCTAACCTGCAATCTGATTAAGTGAGCTGATTGGGAATTGAACCCGAAAGTTTTTGGTGCACGAGGCAGTGCTCCAACCAACTGAGCACTGGCCAGGGCTGAATTATTTTTTTAGTTAAGGAGCAAAAATTAAGCAGTTTAGGAAAGTCAGAAGATGGGGTATATGCTGTGGAAATGATAGTTCTATGTCCCTGCCCTTGAAGAAATCCTCTTAGGATGGATTGTTCTTTTTCCCTCCTCAGTTTTTCCACCCATAAAGTATGAAGGTGTTTGGGAATGTTTTCCTTTAACCTTTAGCCCCAGGCAAGGCCAACGCAGATGGAATAGGACAGTCTATTGTGAACTATGAAGTAAATGTTTCTTGGGAGTTTCTGGGCGTGTCCGTTTTCACTGGCTGTTGGATTTATTTACTTAAGGTTTCGAGAGCCTTAAAAAAAAAACAACAAAAAAAAAAAACACCTGACTTAAGAGAGACCAGAGCCAGTAATAATAGAGTCCCAGTGAACTTTGGGCTCTCGTCTGATTTTACTGTCATGAAGGTTTAGTCAGTTCCAGGTGCTTTTGATAATTTGGCAAAGGCTAATCATAACTCATGGAGGTGACGATGATGATAAAGTGGAAAGGATTTAGCTTATTAAAAGGCATTATTTTTATAATGCTTCCTCACTGAATCTCTAGAAAAATTGATAGCCCAGACTAGGCTGTTTGATGTATACTTAATATTTTCTCTGTAGAAATAACTTTTGCTGTATGAAACTTAAAGAATCATCTGTTAAATAGCAGGTATACAATTTTGGCATACTAGTGTTTTATGTGATACTTGCAAATTCTTCATTTCTTTCCCTTTCCCTTCTCCAAATGAACTGTGTAAGGAAGGCTAGTATTTGAAACTAAAGGCCCAGTGCACGAAATTTGTGCACTGGGGGAGGGGGGACCCGGTGGTCCTTCAGCCCGGCCTGCGCCCTCTTGCAGTCCAGGAGCCCCGCAGTCAATCACTCCACAGAGGGAGGACCCGCCGCAGCCCGCTGGTCAGTGGCCTGGGCCTCCCTCTTTGAGGCAATCATGGAGGGCCCCCCCGACCAATTGCATCGCACCTGCCTTGGCTGGCCTGGCACCAGTGTGTGTCATAGCGTGGTCGTCCGGACGGTCATTCTGCTGTTAGTTCTGCTGTTCGGCAGTTTGGTCGATTTGCATATTACACTTTTATTATTATAGATAAGCTACTTGGAGTTGGTTTTAGACACAAGTATATTGCTTTTCCTTTCATTCTCCGCTCACCTGCCCAAGTTTGTTTTGGTAAACTCAAAACCAGCACCTTCAACCTTGCACCCTTCATTTCCCACCTTCTCTGTTGTTCAGCAGATGAGTATCCAGCCTCTGCTGTCTCAGGAGTATCTGATCTATACATAGATGTATATTTCAATGTATTCTTGGGAGGGGCAAGTTCAGCATCCTCCTATGCTGTCACCATTTTGGACCTCCTCAGGAAATGTGAAACTTTCTAATTTCCTGTCTCTGAATCTTTAGCACAATGTTTTCTCTGCCTTCCTAGGGATTTTTAGGGTTTTTTTCTATCTCCCCTTTCTGTATATCTTGTACTTTGTAAAATAAACAGACCATGTTTGCATACTGGGTGTTAACCTAGTTCTTTGAAGTTCACTTAAGCTTGTGCCAACATTGTTGTATTTTAAATGTTTAAAGTTTCTTTTAATAAATTTACAGACCTTTATTTTTTCTGTATGTCCTCAAACCCCAGAACTAATAGGTACTTTTTCTGAATTAAAATACAATTAGTCATTGATGAACGATGGGGATAAGTTTTGAGAAAAGCGCCTTAGGCGATTTCATTATTGTGAACATCATAGAGTAGACTTACACAGACCTAGACAGTATAGCTTATTACACATCCAGGCTATATGGTATAACCCATTACTTCTAGGCTACAAGCCTGAACAGCATGTTTCTGTACAAAACACAGTATTAAATCAATTACAAGAGACAATGCAATCAAGAGACACACAAATGCAAGATCTCTGAGGCTCCTGCCTACATAACACAGCATACTATTTTACAGCAAACATCTACACTAATAAAAGAGAAAGATGTAAATTAACCATCACTTCGTCACTCCACTACACCCACAAGCCATGCCCACCAGCCAATCAGAGCAACTATGCAAATTAACCCAACTAAGATGGCTTGGGTTGCCCCTGGCGATGTAGGAAGCCAAGCTTCCTGCCTGCCCTGGGTGGCCCTGGGCTCTACTCAAGGCTACAAAGTTTCAATTATAGAAGATAAGTAAATCCCAGATACCTGCAAAAAAAGGGAGAGGCTGGGAGCTTGGGGTCACTGGGGGGGCATGGCCAGCCTGAAAACGACCCTCAGCCCCTCACCCAGGCTGGCACAC